GCGCTCAGTTGTTTTGAAGGATACATCAATTCATCGCGGCTGCTGTTTGTTTCGTATGCAGTTCAGTTGATTAAACTGTGACCCTCATCGCTCTGTCATTAAACAGTGACTTATTTGAAAATAATCAATGCTCGCCAGTTCCTCTGCAATCTCTCTCTCTCTCTCTCTCTGTCACTCAGAAACTTGTATAGCCGATAATTACTCCTTTCTGTTTGCGCCGATGTAAAGCACCCTTGTTCCCTCTTGTATGACTGACCTGTTAGTACAACGTGACCTCGAGTCAGGGATTAAACAAAGCTCACAAATGTGGCCTTTTTGCTCCTCGCTGCAAAGAGGACAAGATAATGAGTACTGGGGGATAGGCTTTCTGGCACTGTAGAGGGAAAGTGGAGGCTTTGGCTGCACATCTGAGTGTCTCAAACTGTATTTAAAGAGAAGAAAAAGAAAACAGAAAATAAGGAAAGATGCCTCATTTGACCTCATGCTGTGTCATTACCACCGCTTGGTGTTTATCTTTGTGGATTCGGCAGGATCGGGCGCATTGTCTGCAGGATTATTGGGCACCCACATGGACCGGCTATGAATGCAAACTGTGATAATGTTCCTGTCCAGCCAAAATGGACGTGGAAAGCCCTGACAGATTACCAGTGACTGTGACTGACTAGGGGTGCTGGCCATCCCGCAGCGAGTCGCCAAGTGACACCAAGCAAACCGAGCTCTCCCACCATTAAATGTGTTATTTTACAGCCGGTGTTGCATCTCAAAATTGGCGCAATCATTCTGCTTCACAACAGCCAATTTAACACATATCTCAAGGAGTATTAGTCTTTTCTTTTGCTCGAACAAAGGATACAATAGAAAACCCGAAATGCTGTGTTTGAAGGTATAATTGCACTTGTTTTTCTGCAGAGATTTGGTTGCAAGGAAATGGAGAGCAGAAGGCTGGAAAAAGAGGCACACTGTCCATGTTAACAACAAGGATTCAGGACCAGTCTACATGCAGTGTGGTGTTTTTCTCAGTGTTTCTCTGTGTGTACGTGTGATTTTAACATGTGAGTGAACATGGCTGAGAGACATGGAAAGAGTAGCAGAGATAAAGACCATGAATGCGGCCTTGCTTTGAACAGAGACATGCCCCCTTTGCAGACAGCTTGTTAAAGCTGCAGAGGATGAGTCAGAGAGCAGTCCCCTTACAGGAGCCCTTGTTGTTTCGAGTCCAGTCTGGTTTCATCTTGTCAGCCTCGCTCAGAGCAAGTAAGGCAACAAAAAAAAAAAAAGGAGAGGAAAGGAAAGGGGGCGCTGCACAGGAAGTCTTCTCCATGTCCCCATCTTGACATTTTCCTCTCCATTAAATCACCTAAAGGCTCTGTGGTAATTTCCAGTCCCAAGCCTTTAGTGTTCACAGAACAGTCACCCCGGCTACAAATTAGATTTGTTTTAATTCATTTAGTCAGATGTATTACTCAAGAAACTACATTAAACACACATAAAGGTAGACTTTGACTGCTGCTACTGCTGCTGCTGGGGACTCGTTTTAAACAGTCTTAAATGAGAGATCATTTTTGACTTCTATTCCCTGTGATAGCAAACAATGAGGAGAGCACAACAATGACAACAACTTCATCATCTGTTTAGCCCAGAGCCTTAGCTGTTATTCAAGCATGAACAGGGTTAGGGACACAGAGGGGCACTGCTTCATCAAGCCCGAATTACATCACTGCAAAGACAAAACTACACCGCTCCTCCTTCAGCACACTGCGATTTAAAGACCCTGACATTTCTGCTCAACTTTTACAGTGCACTTAAAGTTATTAAATGAAAAGATAAGATCACACTGTTTCACTGACACGCTGAAGATTCCGGATAGAGGGTTATCTGCTCAGGTTAGAAAGAAGAATCATTCCCATAAGTTGAATTTAATTAATGTAAGACAGGGTGTTTCACCTTTGCTTTTGGCGTGTAAGTTGTCAATGAAAAAACTATAATTTTCTTAGAGAGATAGAGAGTTTTTCATATAAACTTTTCAAAAACACTTACTATCATGAATCTTCCTCCAAACTAGACAGTCTACAGGCTTGAAGGATGTGTCATTAAAGTGGCTCCATGCTTACCTCTCAGGTGTTAAATTCATCCCTTTACTGTCAGTAATAGCACACCACAGGGGTCCATCCTGAATCCTGAGTGTCATTCTTTACGCTTATTTACAGTCTATTAAACGCCATTTAAAGCTCTGTCCGTGTCCACCAAGGTTTGAATCATTCTCAGTCTACCTTTGATGCTTTTAGAAAACACAAAATAGTCATCTTATTTTAAGAGTAGTTAAAAAAACAGTGTACTTTCTATTGTCAGTTACATGCTGTCCTATCCTTCCAGTATTACACAAACTTTAAATTAGGATCCTGATATCAGATATCGGCTGGATACTGACCCAAAAAGTTAGATTGGTATCGGTGATAAGGGCCGGATCATAAAGGCCAGTCTTTGGAGCAGGTCTAATCAGCTTAGATCTATACTCCTCTGTGTTTTCAACAGCCATGTGCGCAAACTACATTATCATTTTGCCAGAGGGAGCCCGAAATGTATTGTGGAGGGAGCTAGCTAAAGAGGCTCAGGCTTAATTCACAATCAACACTGACGTTTACTTGCAGTATGTCGAAGCTCATGTTGGGAGGGATGGGGGTGACATAGCAAACAAGAAGCCAAAATAAAGCGGTTAATGTTTGTAGTCACTGACACGAAAATGACAGAAATCTCCCTGTGATGTTTAAAAATGCAGAGAATAACAGAAGAGATACTGGATAAACTGATCTGGATGAAAAACCAATCATTTAGTTTGACAGCTAGATTTCGACTTCACTTCTCACTCTGCCGCAACTCTGATAACCTCTAGTGTGCTGACACGGACTCCGCTGCAGAGAGAAGGCAGTCCTACAGAATAATCTTAAGCTAAAATAGAATCAGGGACAGATATCAAGGCAATATGAGCCATTGAAACACCAAAAACATCCCCATGAATGCATCCAAGTAAAGTTATTTGTTAAAATATTTAAAGAAAAAAACGCTCATTAGTTTTGTCGTAAATTAAAAACCAGAGGCCTTTTTCAGAGATCCGTAGTTTACAAAGTCACTCTTCAAACCAGAACCAAAATGGCGTCTGAAGCTGCATGGCATTAAGCTTGCTGACTGTATCCAACCTTAAATCAACCAGGATTTGATTGGAAATGAATAACATGCCAGCCAGAAAAAATTGAATCCAGCTGTGGTTCTTAAAAAAGTTGGTTTCCAAGTCTGCAGCTAACTCAGATTCACATTGCATTCTAAGTGTAATGCTTATGTGTAACATGCACTAAGTGAGGTTAAGTGACTTTTCTATGGTGAACAACATGGAATCTACACTCACCGGCCACTTTATTAGGTACACCTGTCCAACTGCTCGTTAACACTTAATTTCTAATCAGCCAATCACATGGCGGCAACTTAGTGCATTTAGGCATGTAGACATGGTCAAGACAATCTCCTGCAGTTCAAACCGAGCATCAGTATGGGGAAGAAAGGTGATTTGAGTGACTTTGAACGTGGCATGGTTGTTGGTGCCAGAAGGGCTGGTCTGAGTATTTCAGAAACTGCTGATCTACTGGGATTTTCACGCACAACCATCTCTAGGGTTTACAGAGAATGGTCCGAAAAAGAAAAAATATCCAGTGAGCGGCAGTTCCGTGGGCGGAAATGTCTTGTTGATGCCAGAGGTCAGAGGAGAATGGCCAGACTGGTTCGAGCTGATAGAAAGGCAACAGTGACTCAAATAACCACCCGTTACAACCAAGGTAGGCAGAAGAGCATCTCTGAACGCACAGTTCGTCGAACTTTGAGGCAGATGGGCTATAGCAGCAGAAGACCACGCCGGGTGCCACTCCTTTCAGCTAAGAACAGGAAACTGAGGCTACAATTTGCACAAGCTCATCGAAATTGGACAATAGAAGATTGGAAAAACGTTGCCTGGTCTGATGAGTCTCGATTTCTGCTGCGACATTCGGATGGTAGGGTCAGAATTTGGCGTCAACAACATGAAAGCATGGATCCATCCTGCCTTGTATCAACGGTTCAGGCTGGTGGTGGTGGTGTCATGGTGTGGGGAATATTTTCTTGGCACTCTTTGGGCCCCTTGGTACCAATTGAGCATCGTTGCAACGCCACAGCCTACCTGAGTATTGTTGCTGACCATGTCCATCCCTTTATGACCACAATGTACCCAACTTCTGATGGCTACTTTCAGCAGGATAATGCGCCATGTCATAAAGCTGGAATCATCTCAGACTGGTTTCTTGAACATGACAATGAGTTCACTGTACTCAAATGGCCTCCACAGTCACCAGATCTCAATCCAATAGAGCATCTTTGGGATGTGGTGGAACGGGAGATTCGCATCATGGATGTGCAGCCGACAAATCTGCGGCAACTGTGTGATGCCATCATGTCAATATGGACCAAGCTCTCTGAGGAATGCTTCCAGCACCTTGTTGAATCTATGCCACGAAGAATTGAGGCAGTTCTGAAGGCAAAAGGGGGTTCAACCCGTTACTAGCATGGTGTACCTAATAAAGTGGCCGGTGAGTGTATATGAGTTAAGTTTATGAGCTCTGATATATTTATGTATAAAAAACAAAGCATATTCAATATTTCATGTTGTTCATATGATACACAGTATTAATATACTGTATGTCATGTATGTTTTAAAACATATTTGAGATGCATAAAGTTATAGGAACTTAATGTACTTGCGATTAGACGAATGCCATATGTTTAGATGTATACGTTTCCTGCACATGTGGATCAGTCGTGAGGCCTCGCCATGGCTCCTCAGAGCCCGTGTGTGTGTCACAGATTGCAGGCGGTTAATATTTCAGTGCAGTGGAGCTGCATTTGACGACAGCCAAGGAGTTGGGTCAGGTTAACAGGGCTGTTGCGTGCCAGAGCCCAAGAGAGTCTTAAATATTTGATTGCCTTTTTCTTCCTCGGCTTCCTCTTCTTTTAGTGCACTTTAGAATGGATCCCCATATTTGTAGTTCAAAAATAAGCTCATAGAGATCTCTTGTTCAGCCTCGTCGGTGTGTTTTTCTCTCTTTTTTTCCTATAAAGCCCTGAAGTTCAGCATTTGGGTCATGCTGTGTTATTACAAACAAATGTTAGTGCAGTCTTTAAAAGCTGGCATATAACGGTGATTCATATGACCCATAGAAAAAAAACATGCTAGAAAATCTATGAACTAATGCATATTTTATGATTCTATTTTCATTTTATTAGGGTATTACGTAAATGTTTTATGCAGAGCTCATGACAGAAACAGATGTAAAAGATCAGTATTCAGCTTTTGGGTAATGTCATATTCGGAGGTCCCCTAAAAAAAAACATTTTTTGGAGTCTTTTGCCCTGAAAACATCATACCAAAGGAAAAAAGTCTGAGTCTAGTTTAATTTTTAACCTTCAACTGTGTTTCATCCTGTAGATGGAAATTTAAACTCACCCACAGATGGAATTTCATTTTGCAAATCCGCAAGATCAATTAAATGGATTCCACTTATTGTGATCAAAGGTAATAAAACACCCCGATTATTAAATGAAATCTTGCTAAGCACAAATGAAACTGTGACTGTAAAACTGCAAAGCTTGTTAACTTATTACATGAAAACTGTCATTCACTTACATGCATACATATTGAATTAAAAGGAGAAGAGAGCCTTCCCCACCTCACTCACACACATACACACACCCTGAAAGTGGAGCTGACTCTTTATAATCACTAACGATGTTAAAATTGCCGATCATTTGGAGTGCTAAAAACACAAAGAGGCAGCTCAGATCATTTGGCTGACCTTTAAGGCCGCTCAGACAAAACAACCCTAAATGCAGAGACAAATTACGCAGTTTTTCAAAAAGTGGTTGTTGCTTCAGTGAGCTCCCAAAAGGCAAGCTTTCAGATAACTGCAGCCAAAAATTTACAGCAGCCTGCAGAGAGTGTGGTTCACTGACCACAAAGCAAACCAAGATCTCAGTTCTGGAATTTAAATGGTTATTTCTTTCAAAAACAGCAGCACATTATGCGTGATGGGGAAGAAACTAAGTTATCCCATTGTGAAACCTGAATGAAGCTGAAAAGAAAATGAGTTGCATTGAAGTGAAATGCATTAATCCTCAAACGAATGTCTTGATGATTTATTAATCACTGCTTTGATGTTAATGTATGGGCTAATGGTAGTAATATGTCCCTGGGCCCATGTGCCAAGGAGTGTTACATGCTGTGCCATCTAAAGAGGCATCAGTGTCACAGGAAATCATCTATCAAAGGGCTGCGACATAAGTTAGCGTTTTAAAGCTACCTGTCAAGTCATGCAGTTGCATTAAATGCATACTTTGCATGCCGTAACTTATGGCTAACAGATTCCTCTGGTCCTGAAGGTATGACTGATCCATGCAATAATTATCTGATCCATGTTGTCAGGCTCGTTCCAAGCTCTTTTTAATGGAATAAATACCTGAAGATATTTATGATGAACCTACAATCTAGAAATAGCTTTATTTGCCACCTACTGAAATTTAATGGCTCCATAAAATGACTGTAGGAGGTGGTTGTGGATTACCCAGTAGAGTGTAGATAGCAGAGATGGTGGGCAAGACAGCAGGTGAGTTATAGAGCATCATGCTCAGTTTATCCCTGCAGGACACACTGAAGATAATGGCAGGAGGAGATGAAGAAGACCATGTGATATTGATAGCGAGGGATGTGTGTTTTATTAGCCTGTAGAGATCACAGATGTAGGGCTGAACATAAGCCAAAGACCCATGAACATTTTCTGTAGTCGACAACTAAAGATTCAGAAGGTTAGTTGCAGGGCTGTAATCAATCAAAAAAATTCTTGGTCGACTGAAACCTTAAAATTTTCGACCAAAAATCGACTAATCAAGGGGTTGGATTTTTCAAACTCTGACAGCAAACCCTTTAGCGGCAGGGGACAACACGGTTTGGCGGATTGTGACTCGGTGGAGCGCGGCTCAGCAGGGTGAAAATATACTGATATCAACACAATAAGGCAATTATACAAATATTATATTCAGCAAACCACTGGACGTTGATCAACATGGCCACTCTTCCTGTCTCCAGCCGGTCTCCAGTGGGTTGGGTGAATCCAGAATGGTGAAAACAAGGGGGGTGTTCTGAGACAGGCTGTTTCCTGAGAAACGGGAGTGCTCTGAAAATACCCGCATTAGCACTTGGATTAGCACATTCCTCCTGATGAAATTAACCATTGACTGTAAATTGACTTGGATAAAAATTGAGTCGACCAATCAGAGTTTTGGTCGACTCAGCAGTGCAGTGCAATAGGAATGACGATAGCATTAGCAATGGCAACATTTGTAAGCTAACATTCTCAATCTGAAATACTGTTGGAGAGAATCTCCCACACATCCAAAGACTTCAAGAAACTTTAACATATACTGTAAAGAAAAAACTTTGAACTGGAGGCAGTTTCAGAATAAGTCCAAGTACAGTCAGCAGTGAGTTCAGTTATGTACATTTCTTGCTGAGCTGTCCAAGTTAGAACTTGTCTGTTAGAGCAGACAAGGCGGACAAAAGAGTTATTCATACTATGAGATATCTGCGCTGGCTTGGCTCAACTGTGATGTTTAAATCTCAGCAGTCACCAGCCAACAGCGGGGAAAAAAGCTGAATTTGTGTGACATAGGGGTTTGATGCAGTGACATTTGAAATCTAAGAGTGACGGATCTGTCTTTGAGAGCTCTGACACCATTGGACAGCCAAAGAAATGGTGAAAAATATGGCAGAGGGTGTCAAACAAGAAAAACACAGTAAGACTTAGTGCCTGAGTTTAAACATAAGAAAAAATGAACAATTTCAAAGGAAAAAAAAAAAAAGAAAATCTGCTTTGACTACAGTTACATCATTTCTAACCACAGGAGGTGATTCTGGATAGTCAGCTTCGTTTGCAGTCTTTTGAAAGTCACTGTACTTTGATTCCAACTTGTCCAAAATCCATCTATTTGCCGCCGATTTCTTCCCTCTGATGCTTAATTTATTATAAGAATTATAGATTATTTTTCAAGCAGTAGTTTGAGCAGTTTAATTTTTTGACCCCCAAACTGAAATAGCTGAATTCATCAAGTACAAACAACCTTCAATATCTGTTTGAAGACTTGCTTGTTTTGATTGCGTGCCATTTTACCATAACTTTTGTTTTCTTTATTGACAAATATTAAATGCATGTGGTTTGGATGTTCGCATGTCCAAATCTCCATCCACTGTGCAAGGAGGAGAAACACCTGGATATTTTTTCCCAGTCACCTTCCGGAAGCATTGCATGTGAATAGAGATCGAAGACATGGCGAGCATGAAACATGTTTATCACCGGATCCGTCTAGTCCAAGTCCCATCAATTCTCACCAAAGACCTATTTGTCCCAGGCTTTCTTTGTTGTCCTATCAGAGCAATGTCGCACAGCAAATTGTCTCCCAGGGTGCAGCCTGGGTGGTGGGAGATGAAGAAGAAGTGGGAGGAGAAGGAAGTGACAAGGAGTGTTGCCCTAAATTGCTATCGATTCGGTTGTTTGAACCTTTTTTTTCCTCCAGGAGGTTAAGAGTCTAGGAGGAGCTGAGGCTGAGGTTCAAAGGAAGGAACTGTCACCCGGTCTTTATTCAAAGTGATGTCTGTCGCACCCTGTCATCCTTCTCCAATTGTCCATTTAGTCGGAAATAGAAAAGTGAAACATCGAGGGGATTCTCACTAAACTGTCAAGCTGCTGTCAACTCATCATATCAATCTCTCTATTTGGGGGCTATTGGAGAAAATGCTCTTTATTCCTACTTCTTAAAATTCTCCAATACATTTCACCTTTAATCTCCACATTTTTTAAGTTCAATGTATTTCTTTCATGAGAAATACCATCCCATTATGAGCTCAGTTATTGGCAACAGTACAGGTCAGCTGGGTCTGATGTGAGTTATGAGGATTGGGATAAAAGTTTAAAGCTATTGATTCCTAAACAATGTTCTGTGTAATGTTTCTCCACAAATATTGATACAGATACAACTTGAAGCTCACTACCTGTTAAGAGTTATTGACTGAGATAACAAGTGAGCGCTGCACTCCCCTGCAGAAAGCGGACAATGCCAAATAGGCTATGATGTATTATGGCCTCTGATCGATAAAGATGCTGGAGTTTCTAACATAATAAGAAAAAAGTGTTGAACACTTTAATGTGTCCGTCACAAAAAGAAGTGAGAAATATTTTTGAGGTAATGAAATTGTGGACGTCATAAATAGGATTTAAAGCCTATTGGCTCAGTCTTCAGACCAAAATGTGTCTACATCATAAAGGCCTGACTGTATCGCCTCCTTTCCATTTCAAATGTACTCATTTTGTGTCCTGAAAAGCCTTACACCCCAGGTATCACAAAGGTATAATAGCTCTCTAATACTATCACTTCATCCCTATTAAATAGCACTCAAATTGCTCTGAGTGTAGTATTCAACAACAGGGATAACATGTTTCGAACAAGTATTCACAACTGCACTCCCAGTTTTGAGGCTTAAAAGCCAACCAGTGCACAGAAAGGATTATTTTTCCTTTTTTATGTTGAGCATTTGTTGCATGCTTCTAAAAGACTTCAGGATGGTACTGTGCATGAATGGGACTATTACCTGTAAAATGCCTGCAAAACAGCTTCTTTGAGCTCCAAAGTGTGCACATGGCAGTGCACAACAGCTTTTATCCCTTGTTAAATAACAGTGGGAGAGAAAGCCAGCAGCAGCTGGTGTTGTATTCCTCAAAGCAAGCCTTATAGTCTTTCACTCTCATTTTCCATCCCGTTTTTTCTTTCTCCTTTCCTTTTCTTCACCACATTTATCCATCTCTCTTCATCTTTTCTTTGACTGCATCAATGACATTTTGAGAATCACAAATATTTCATAGCTGAGACTGTGGAAGGTTTCCATCACCATGAGTGGATTTCCTCAACTTGGGGTGATTTGCATGTCTCAAACTAGACAAGCGCGATGCATTATGCAACACTGGTAGCATATTCTGCATAAATCCAGTTCATATTTGAGAATCTAACATTTCATGGATTCCTTTTTTTTCTTGGTTATCTGCTTTCTAACAGAAATTACAGGCTGTTTCTGCTTAGATTCTAACTGAACATGCTCAAAATTACAGCAGTAAATAATTTCAGACAACTTTTAATCTCTGTATGTAGCACAGGGGAATTTTTTTATATCAGTTCCTGTGTTTTGCACCTAGCTGTGGCTTATTTTGTGAGAGGAACCCGGACCGGAGATTCTTAAGTGCACAGTGGGCTCTGGGTTTAGTGTCCACCTGGTGCCCCCAGCTTAGTTTTCCCAACTTATTTAAGTGGAAGACAGCCTGCTGTTTTCTGCAAAGAGATCTCATTGGAGAAAACTCAGGTTGTACTCTCGTGTCGGTGCCAGTGAGTCAGACGAGTAGTGAGTAGTACCTCCCTGGTCACAGAAGTGAAAGTGCTCAGAGGATAGGCTTTTTTTTAAGCAGTAACCCGAGGTGCCATCACTGTTAAATGTAGCTGCCACAGTGTTAACATTATCCCCATTGTGGCTTGGGAACTAGACGTAGGGTGATGTGGGCTGTAATAGCAGGTGACTGGTGGATTAGGATTGGACATAGTGCTTAGAGATTAGTGTTCACAGCATAGTTGGATACAGGAACACTCTGCAGTTTAACAGGATTGTGTGAAATTTGGTCATTTCCAGTGTATAAGCAGCATCCCTGAACTAAATCTTTCTGTCCTGTATTTTATTTTTCGTTATGTTCCACAAGCTGCTGTCTCATAAAAATACATGTAGCACTCAAAAATCAATGCTTCTCAATGAATCACAGCCTTGGGTTAAGTACTTAAAGAAACCCAATTAATTGCAACACAATAAAAAATGACTTCAGAATGAAAACACAGAAGATCTGAGTGATAAATCAGCCTGTCTTTGACTACATCAGAGCAGCCATAAAAATGATTTAATTGCAGGTAGTGTTAATGACAAAATCCCTGAGATGGCTTGCTTCCATCAGTCTTCTTCGCCTGCGATCAAAGGCCTCGGTCATTAAAGAGTCCCAGGGTATTGATGCCGGTTTTATCACCACTCCTGGAGCCCATTATAAGCCAGGAGACTGCTTCTCTGTGTCCCCTGATGGAGGTGACACTCTGCATCACTAATAGGACAACTTTTGTGCCGTTTTAACTGGCCGTTCACTCCTCCTTGAAGCACCAGACGGTTACTGGCATGAGCAGTTTGAACATCATTTAAACCCTATATACTACTGGAAATAGTGGAAAGACAACTCATCAAATGTTGAAACTGAAAATTTTTATTGTTTAGGAAAACTTTAAGCTCATTTTTAAGTTTGATGCTGGCAAAATACATCAAAAAAGTTTGAACTGATACAACAAAAGAATGAAAAAGTAGAGTAATCTTAAAAAAACAGAAATAGAGGGACATTTCAGAATATTGTTAGTCCGCATGAAATTTATATGAATGAGGGAATTTTTCCAGAAACAGCATATAATACCAAAGGAATCTGGATAAATCTAAATGTAAAAGAAGAGCAGGGCCAGAAGCCAATACTTGAAGAGTATTGAAGAGCCACGAAGAGCCATCCTCAGGTTAGAAACTGACCTGAATTTTGACAAATCAAAATCTGACACTCTTTTTGGACATCATGGACACCCTGCCCTTTAATTTAAAAAGGACAGTGACCTCCTGCCGTGGTAATAACTCTCAGTTTAACAGCCAGCGCCTGTGATAGTATGTGGATACATGAGTGTCCATGGCACTGGAAGCATACCTATCTAAGAAGGTGTACATTACGACAGCATGGCTCTGTGGTGGAAGGGTCCAGGTGCTAAACTAGTCTACAGACAGTACCGACACATCCACCAATGCTGCCATCAAATTTGGAATCAGCATATAATTTATAAAGGATAATCAGATTTTTTTCAATTACAACATTAAACATATTTGTCCTTTTACCATTACGTACTGTAATTTACAGTTTTCATTTACTGTTATTTAAAAATGTCTGTTTTTTTTTAACTGATGTCGTGTCTTAGTCTGACTGTTTGTTTGTCTTGCATGTAGTTCCTACACAGTCTGGCTATATCTCACTTGCTCCCATTCAGTCAACCGTCAAAGCTTTGCAGAAAACATCCCCTCTCCCTGTTCTTACTTATCCTCATTTATTTATTGATGGAACAGCATAGGCTTTGTACAGAACATCATGTGTTAATTTCACTTTAAACAGTTTTATTTCCCTGATTGCTGAACCCAGCATGTTGAGTTTATTGCAGCTGCTGCTGCATTAGGAGCACATAATATGTGTTTGAATGCTCTGCCACAGAGTGTGCCGCACCAAAGTACAGTTGTCTTGGGAGCAATAGTATACAAGACCCTGTAAAAGAAGATCTTCATTAAATTTCCATCAGCTCATGAAGTCAGTGAAATAAAAAAGTTGTGTAACTAGTCTGACTTCTGCAAAATAGGTTATATCTTTGAAGACAACAAATTTATCACACATATTCTGTATTTATAACGTATTTCTGCTGGAGATGGATCTGTGGTGCTGGATAAGACATGACAGTGATACTGCAAAGTGCCGCACGGCACTCAGCAACAGCATCTGATGCTGCAAGTATTTTAGAATAAGCTTCAGGGTTCATTTTATATAACACTATTTGGCTAGAGTCTATATGAGTGATATTCACAGAAATGTCATGCCGATAAATGATTTTGGGGGGGGAGTAGAAAATATGTTAAGCGAGATAACCCCTGAAATGAAATGCTGTCGATGTAGCTGGTGTGATATGCAGTGTGTAACCTAAAGCTGTATTCCATATGTGAGCTTTTTTTAGGTTGAGATGAGACATACAGCAGCATGCTGCAGAAATATACGCTGTGTCATCTAACCCCAGCTGAGTCTGCCTTCTTCATATTTTCAAATGTGAGCTTTCACCTGGTACATAAGTTCAAATTTCCATCTGTGTTTGCAAGGTTTTGATTTATCTCTATGTGAGGACTTTTACCTGGTTTTTGAGAAATTGTATTTTAGTATTGATGCCTCCAGGGACAGAAAAGCACATCCCTATCACAGTGAGATGACTGGCCATTTCTGGGAAGTTGCACTTGTCTTGTCCTCTTTAGTTACTCATGTTTTTAAATGGCACAAAGGGCATTACGTCTCTGATGACTCTTCTCCTGGCAAAGTTTGGCTCTAGGAAGCTAGCTGGCACAAGGAAGCGGAAAGAGATGCACCTGAAAAGAATTCTGCACAAGCATGGACTGAGCAAAGAGATAAATTTGGAGCATTGACTGAAGAATTTGGCAGTGATGAAGCTTGATGAAAAATACCAGTCACCCTTGGTTAATGGCTGATCTCATGTGCCCTCCGCCTACCTGACAAGTGTGTAATATTTCCATCCTAATAATTAATACATTTTTATTCAGGGCTTTCTACAGACCACAGGGATCAGATAATAATACATCAGATTTTATAGCGCTTTTTTGTCAGTGACCTCAAAGCGCTTTACATTGGATACGTCATTCATTGGCTCACACAGTCACACCTTGGTACCAAATGACAACCTGCAGCTAACAATCACACTTATATTTGGTGCATGGGACTCTCTTCATACTTTTTTGTCACCCTGTACACCGGTGGGACCAATATCCCACTTGAAAATTCAGGAAGCACATCTTTTTGGCCTCTTTTAGGTGGTCGTGGGAAGTAGTTAGGTTGTACAGCTTGTTTATTTGTTAAGCTAGTTAAAGCTCCTGTGAGGAACTTTTGTTTTGTGTCAATTTTGGTGCCCCCTGTGGACAAAACGCTACTTGTTCTATCTTTGCTGATTTTGACCTATACATGTACCTTTTTTTTTTTTTTTCAGGCAATAAAGGCGCACCAAATTATATGGCACACTGTGAATTGACGTGTCTATGTTCACACATAAGGCGCACCGGATTGTAAGGCACATTAAGCAAAACAACACACACCACCAAATACTGTTCTCTGATTGGTTTATTGTTGCTAGCGCGTACTCCAGGCCTGGGCGGCCTTACATCAACGCACTTCTAGTTTAGACATTACAGTCAGGCAATCTTGTAGACTGATTAGGGGTCCTGTCATGGGGCTGATCAGGTAGTGACACAGCATACCATAATGCTCCGAATATCCATTTAGCGTAGCGGCTTCGTTGCTCACCAAAGTCTGACTTACACATTTCAACAGATTTTTGAGCGCATTGTACCACATAAAATCGGTCAGTAAGCACAACAAGTAATCATACATAAGCCCTGCTGGATTATAAGGCACACTGTCAATTTTTGAGAAAACTTAAGGATTTCAAGTGCACCTTAAAGTCTGAAAAATACGGTATTTTCTAATAATTTAAGTTTATCTGAAATATGTTAAAATCCCTGGAAATGTAAAAAAATCCTCTTTTGGTAGTTTTCAGTTCATCAGTTCATCTGACAGCTACACTTTCACCTGATGTTTTTGACAACAAAAAGACCTTTACAGAGATAATCTAGCTAATATGTATCTGATGGCCTTGTCATATAAAGGCAGTAGTATTAATATCAGTCTGTTATGTGACAAGTTCAAAACACCTCGCTGTAGCTTTGAGTCAAAGTTTGTCAATAAAGCACATTTAAAAGAAACACAGTTGACAAAGCAATGTGAAAAGGGTGAAAGAAAAACATATCTAAAAGAACCATAAAAACACATTCAGTAACTCAATGAGAACTCAGTAAATAAGAGCAGAGTACTGTTGCTTAGGAATGCAAGGACATGAAAGTCAACTTTAAAGCCAACTTAAAGAGTTTAGGTTACAAACAATTTCTCTCCATCAAAACATATTACTCTGAGAGATAGTAAATAGCTGTAGCATACAAAGCCACTCAACAAAGACACTGTTGCTAGGCAACTGAATGAACCAAACAGGCCAAACGCAGTGAACTAAGTTTTCAATGTGTCCAAGTCTTCATGTCGCAGTGATACACAGCCAATCAGATGCACTCCTTAATCTTTTAGCATCCGTCCTCAGCTGCTGTGCTAAAAAATGTATAACACGTAGCTCTGTTCTTTTTGTCGCTCTCTTCCAGAACAAATGCACACAGTAGTTAGATCAGAGGTTTACACAACATGAAAGATCCTCAGAGCCTCATAAGAGGAAAAGACTGTATTTCTGAAGGTGGTGTGCAATGCTAGAAACTCAGACTAAAGCAGATCACTAATGTGGGAGATAATTTGATATGTAGATACTGTGAAGCTTTGAGCACCAAGTTGAACAATATTTACATCATTTCAATCTCAGCTTTGACAGCTTCTGTGTCTGTGGTTACACCATTTCATCTCTGTTATAATATTCACATTCACACACTGAGTGTAGTGCATTAAAAACACACACAATTTCAAAACAATCGGCCTAATGAAGCACTTCACACAAATGATTAAAACAGCCCGATATGCATATGAGCAGTGTGACAGCCTCTCTGATATATAATTCAGATTTTGTGAGATTAAAGAGTGGGGGGAAAAAAAGTTTGATAACTTTAATTTTTAATTATTCATTGGAATGGAATTATTCCTCTCATAATATTGTCACTCTCTGGAGAGGAGTCATTCAAATTTAATAGCAGAGCAAGAGATAATCATTCGGCTTAATTCAGTGTCTGTAAGTATTTAGAGGATCAGGTTCTATTTTATAGCTCTAATGCTGTTCTGGTCCCAACTGCTCAGACTTGAGAGGCAGTTTCAAACATTTCCTCTCTTAGATTTTCTGTTTGTTTTTGTCTTTTAATGGTAAAATACACCCTTTTAAAAAAGAAATGATTGTATGCTGAAGGAGGCAGTCAGAGCAATCATATTCTAGGATTAAAATGAGTGAGAGTGGACTGTGTAAGGAATTATGTATAATATATATTTAGCAGGTCAGCACGGCTCTGGTTCAAAGGGAAGGGCCATACTTATCTCACTAATATTATCATCCTATCATTCACATTGCACTAAACATTTCCATTGATGTTAAAGACGTGTTAAAAATGATGGCATGTTTGTGTGTGTGTGTGTGTGTGTGTGTGTAAAATGAGCTTTTATTTATTATCTATTTATTAACAATTTTCATATTTGTTTAATTTTAGCCCACTTGTGTTTTTGTTCAATTACATCAAATAAACTTTTCTCATAAATGAGGCAAACGTCAGAACTGACATCACTCTTACCTGTATCACTGCTCCATAAGGTTTCAGGCATAGGTGAAACATGCGTATTCTGTTCTGATATGGTCATACATTGTTCTGCTATGGTATAAAAATTTTACATAGCCAGTTATTAAATATTATAAAGGTAAAAAATTATCAAGATAAGAACTTAACGAATGCTATTTTTGTTCTTATATTTATTCTGGAAACTGTCGCAGCATAATAACCAGGGACATGTGGATAAGCTTTGATGCTAAAATAAGTTCTGCTTCAATAGAAAAAAAAAAACATTTAGACTCAACCAGAAAAATCTAAATTAAATTAAATTAAAATTTAATTTAGAATAAACTAGATAAATAAATGAAATAAAAAATGAAATTTGAAGTCTAAATTAAATTGATTAAAGCTCCTGTGTGGAACTTTGTCTGTGTTGACTCTGGCACCCCTTTTTATACATTGTGGTACATCTTATTTCTTTTCTTATTTATCTAGCCCAGGGGTCGGCAACCTTAAACACTCAAAGAGCCACTTGGACCAGTTTCCCACAGAAAAGAAAACACAGGGAGCCACAAAACCTCTTTGACATCTAAAATGAAGATAACATTGCATATATCTTTTTTTTTTTTTTTACCTTTATACAAAGTATATAAAAAACTGTAGCGAGTTGCATTTATGAAATAAATGAACTATTTCGGCGAGTGTCTGTCTTCTTCTGTAGTTAAACCGCAAGATATCAAAATCTACCCGGATACAGCAATGCTGCTTTTTGATTGGCTGTTCAGTAGATATACTTTATTTGATTGGCTTGTGCGTGGCACGCAGCTTCTGAACTCTCGGAGGAACTCAGTTGATTTCCCCCAGTTCCATAGTTGAAGAAGTGCAACTTGGTGGACATCACCGTGTTCATTTAAATGCGTGAGAAATACAATGTGTGGTGTG